CCTGCCAAGGATGGCAGTGCCAGGGAGGCTGGGCCAGGCTGGCTGATGGCTCAGGTGCCACTGGAATGGTTGGCAAGCAGCAGGGATGGAACACGCCCCGAGGAGCTCCTGCCTTGGCCCTGGTGCCTGGGGATGTGCCAAAGCCAGCTGGCATCACTGCCAACCCCTGCCCGTGCCCCACAGGGGACAAACCAACCTGCTGGCTCACCCTGGGCTCTGCCACGGCCCCCCTGCTCCCCAAACCTCCCTGGGCTGGGTGTTTTCCATGTCTGAGCTGGGTTGGTGCCTCCCTTCCCTCTCAGCGAGGATGTCACCTGGCCAAGGGCCGGGGAAGGCACAGGGAAAGGATTTGGGGGATTTTGCCATAAAAAACTTGGAGTCACCTTCATCTCTCCTTGGATTTGTGAATGCTGGGATGGATGACTCAGGAATATCCTGCTTCCAATGTCTGGAGAGGAAGAGCCAGGCTGGGTTGGTGGCACAGAGAGGCCACCAAGGTGACAAGAGCCACAGGCAGCTGAGGAACATTTGATTCAGCAGAATTTCCCCACAGTCCATGCCAAGAACAAAGCATCCAGAAAGCACAGTGCCAGCTTTGGCTCCCAAAAAAATCCTTTTCCTGTGGATGTCTTGTCATCCACAGTCATGGATCACCATCGTGGGGGTCTCCTGGGCACTGGGACCCCCCTGCCCCTCATGCCAGCCCTCTGCAGGCAGCCCTGGGGGGACACTGGGCTTTCTCCTGAACTGGATCAGATCTCTAAACTTCCCCTGATTTGTTCCCTCCTAAGCCAGCTGCTGTTCCATGAAAGGTGTCACCACGGAGCTAAGCTGGAGCTCTGGGAGAAGGGCAGGTGTAGCATTGCTGAGGGTAAAATCCACCAACAAACTGGGAAAATTCAGAGTATTTCTCTAAAAGGGCTCCAAGGGAGCTGCAGAGGGGCTTTGGACAGGGGTCCGGAGTGATGGGACAAGGGAAAATTGTTTTAAAGAACAGGGCTGGGTTGGATTTTAGGAAGAAATTCTTCCCTGTGAAGGTGGTGAGGCCCTGGCACAGGTTATCCAGAGGGGCTGTGGCTTTCCCTGGATCCCTGGAAGTTTCCAAGGTTGGACATTGGGGCTTGGAGCAGCCTGGGACAGTGGGAGGTGTCCCTGCCCATGGCACTGCATGAACTTTAAGGTTCCTTCCAACCTAAAACTGTAGGTCTATGACTTAGCTCCACAACACCCCTTGGAACAGCTCTGGATTAATTCAGAACCCACAGGTCATGCAGAGGGTCTGAAATGGCACCAGGCTGGCTGGTGGCTGGAGATGAGGTCCCTCAGAACTTCAGGTGACATTCTGTGCTCATGGGCAGCAGGAATTGGAATGGATGATAGGTTGTTTGCAGCCCATGGATTAACGGGACAACTAATTCTGTAGAGATTTTTGCACATCTGGAGTAGAATCAAAACGCTGGGGAGTCTCTGTCAGTAAAACTCTGGCTTCACGTCAGCACTGGGAGGACTGCCCTGCTTTTTCCAAAATCCTGGAGCTCTGGGTGCTGCTCCACAGAACCCACAGCCTCAAGCAGCCCAACACAACCACAGAGTGCTGAGCACTTCTGGCTGTAATTTGCTGCTTACAAGGGGACTGAGCTGTTCTGAAAACCCAGCCCAGATTATGGGTTTCAAATGCTAGAAAATCTGTCCCTGAGCTCTTAATCCAGTTTATGGGTTGATCACAAATGGAGCTGAGCCATTCTTGGAAAGAAAACTTGGCAAAAGGAATATTTCTCCACTGTATCAGTAGAAACCACGTACAAAGCTCAGGGCAACCAATCTAGGTGGAGGAGGAATGAAAACGTGTCCCAGGTTCTGTCTGTGAGTGAGGGGAGTGGGGACGGGGGCAGCTGCCAGGGCTGAGTGCACAGCAGCAGGAGTGACACCAAAACCCACCTGGAGGAATAGGAGTGACACCAAAACCCACCTGGAGCCTGGGCTGTGTGTAGCCGTGGGAAGGGGTTTTAACCCTTTAAGTGAGGCAGAAATAAGATGCACAGCTACGTGGTCGTTTTTCGTGACAGGAAGAAAGAGCCAAGTTTATTCAGAAACACACTTGGTTTTATAGCATGACTGCAACTCCCAGAGTAGAGAAAAGGTGATTGGTTCAGAGAGAAGACACCCCATTGCCAGGGCCTGGGCACACACCACAACAGGGGTTCTATCTTTGTTATTAATTCCTTTTTATTGTGACCAAATTCTCACCCTGGGAGAAATTCTCCCTAGCCTTGAGCTGGACCAGCTCATGGGCTGGGAACAGAGCTGAAAAGCTCCAGCCTGGAATATTTTTCAGGCTGTAATTTTCTTACTTTCTCAATATGTGTCCCACAGCTGTGGTCACACACCTGGGGGCAGCTGCACACTCCTCAATTCCAGCCCTGCTGGTGCCAAGGAGATTCCTGCCACAGCCATTCCCACAACTGCAGGCTGGTGCCATCAGCGTGCACGAAATCATCTCCCTCTGCAGAGGCACGGGGAGAGGAGCTCAGTTCTTCTCTTCAGAGCTTCACAGAGTCGTTCTCCTCCTTTTTATATTTAATGGGGGATAAAAAAAGCAGACCTGAACGAGGCCATTCCTTTTTAAAGTCTCTTCTAACAGCAGTTCTCTTTCAACAGCTCATTTACTGCCCGTGTGGGACTCCAAAGTGAAATCTGCTCAGCCGTGGATCTTAAAGACTTCCCTTCACACTAACCCTCAACGATCCTTGCTGCTCTCCAGCAGCCAGGCTGGATTCTCTCTTGACTGCTCACATCAATAAATCATACATTATCTATGCTTGAATTTGGTTAAGATTCTGCTAAATGGTGCATGAGATAGAAGAGGACTCGGCTGATGAGTTGTGCTGCTCAGTAAAAACTGGTTGAAATGGGAAAAACAGCCAAGATGGATTTTTGCCATTAAAAACCCACTTGTCTGGTCTTGTGCATGGATAGGAGCAGATGCACTGATCAAAGTCATGGTGGATTTGTAGAGTCTCATACACCAGCAAGGGAAATTGGAAGTGGAAGAAGAATCTGGGATGTGTTTGCTGCCAATAGGCACAAGGAGCACCTGCAGGAGTGAGCGGTGGAAAACCGAGAGGGAGATGATCTCCAAGCCCAGGAGACCTCGGGCAGTGTCCAGCGGGGCAGCCTCTCCTCCCAGGCCTCTCACCACCCATCTTTTCTCTTTATCTTAGCACCATCTAGAGGGATGTGTCTGCACACCCGACAGGAGAGCACCCGCACACGGGGTGTGGAGTCTGGGGAAGCCAAACCTCAGAGGAGCAGTGCACTCCTCCAGACACCCTCACTGCTTGCAATCATCCCCCTGGACCTCTGGAACTGGAATGAAGGGTTCTCCAGGGGGATTGGAGGCTGGGAGGTTCATGGGCGAGGTCTAGAGGCTCTTGATCAGGGTTTGGGGCTTTTTCTTGATTTTTTTTTTTTTTTTAATTGCATCACCTACAGATCTTGCACCATCTACAGATCTTGCAGGTTTCAACAGAGGCCACATGTGGAATGCCATGTCCACTTGGGCTACTCAGCACAGCAGGGACAGGAGCTGAGGAAGGACCTGGAGCATCTCAGTGCCCAGGAAAGGCTGAGAGAGCTGGGGCTGGTCAGCCTGGAGAGGAGCCCCAGCTGAGAGGAGCCTCAGCCCTGGGTGTCCCTGTGTGTCCCTGGGTGTCCCTGTGTGTCCCTGTGTGTCCCTGGGTGTCCCTGTGTGTCCCTGGGTGTCTCTGTCTGTACCTGTGTGTCCCTGGGCGTCCTTGGGTGTCCCTGTCTGTCCCGGTGTGTCTTTGGGTGTCCCTTGGTGTCTCTCTCTGTCCCTCTCTGTCCCTGGGTGTCCTTGGATGTCCTTGTGTGTCCCTGTGTATCCCTGTGTGTCCCTGGGTGTCCCTGGGTGTCCCTGTGTGCAGGAGGCTCAGAGCAGTCCCAGGCTCTGCTCCAGAGGCTCAGTAATGGCACCAGAGCCGGGGGCAGGGGCTGAGCCCAGGCGTTCCCCTGCACAGGAGGCAGAATTTTTAGTGTGCAGTGACCCTAGCACTGAACAGAGACCAGAGAGGGTGTGGAGTGTCCCTGACTGGAGATATTCCACTGTCAGAGTCACTTCCTGCCCTCCATCAGCCCCATCTCGACCAGCCCCACACAATCCCAAAGCAAGGCCATGGAAACCAAAGTCCAACGTGCCCGGAGCAGAGATAAGGGAAGCACATTGCCCTGGGCAGAGGGCAAAGCTGCAGTTCTCAGGATTCACCTGACTGGGATTAAGGAACACAGAGAAGCACAAACAGCAGCAAGGCCTGGCAAAGGATGCACAAAAGCTGCATTTCTTCAGTGTCCTTCTTTAGTCAGGACTAAATCAGTGCTCTGGAGGTGGAATGGGATAAACTATAGAAAAACCAAGGATAATTCTCTGCCTACATTTTGTCTGTTTGGGATGTCACCCTTACCTCCCCCCCAGCCAGGCAATGGGTATGAGAGGGTTTGAAGGTCTGACTAGGGGACAGGACAGTGAAAGTGACCCTGCCCATGGCAGAGGGGTTGAAACTGGATTCTGTTTAAGGTCCCTTCCAACCCAAACCATCCTGTGATCCTAAATCTGTCCCTGCAGTGTTGAGAGAGCAGCAGCAAAGGAGAGGAATGGTCCCATTCCTCACCCCTGCCCCACACAAGCTCAGTGCCCACTGCAGGGACCCTGTCGAGCCCAGTTTGGGATCACAGCACAGAGTTCACCTCCCACCTCCCAAATCCAACTCCTCCAACAGCCACGAAGCAACATCAGCAACCCCTCCAGCCAAGACCAGGTCTCCTTTCATTTTACCTCGGAGCAGCTGCCCTGAGGCAGCCCGGAGTGGCTCCTCCTTGCCGGGAGGAGCAGGGATCCATTCCCGGGCACGGATCCCGGGGCTCAGCCACATCCCCGCGTGTGACCGGGAGCGACATCCCGGGGGAGCGAGGGAGGGAAGGAGGGATCCGGGCTGCTGAATAAACACTGCACATCTGCCGTGAGAGCAGAGAGAGGCAGAGCCGGGCTGGCTGCACAGGACGGAGCTGCTGAGCCCACGGGAAAATGGTTTGAGTCATAATCAACGGTAAGGAAACCTCTGCTTTGAGGAGAGAGCGTAGAGGGGAAATACCCTGCTTGTGTCACGGCCTTGGCTGCTGGGGGGAGGCAGGCTGGTGCTGGAGGGGTTTGGGACACAGCCAGGACAGCAGGCACGGAAAAAAGTCCCGTTTATCCCGGTAAATCCAGTCCCCATCCCTCCCTCTGCTGCGGCTCCGCCAGCGCCGCTCGGGGCTGGATGGGGAGGCGGGTTTGGGGTCGCTGCTGTTTCCCAGTGTCGCAAAGGTCCCCGTGTCCCCTGTTCCCACAGCCTGCCGCTATGTGGCCAGGAAGATGAGGAGCCTGTGCAGCCCGGAGCCCCGGGAGCCACAGCCCTGCCCGGGGCAGGCAGCGCCCCAAAGCCAGAACCAGGGTAAGTGCGGCTTATGGGGACAGGGACATCCACACACCTCATCCTAAACCTGCTGGGACCTGTGGGGCACCTCCACACGCCCCGTCTGTGCTCCCAGGGCCACGCCGCAGAAGTTTCTGCTCTCCCCTGCTTTATTTTTGCTCGCTGGGTTTTGTTGTTAAATGTCATTGCCGCCCCTGGCAGAGGGGAGGAGCAAATAGCAGCCTTTGGAAAAGGGGACAGCCGTGCTTTGGGGTGGGATTAGGATGTCACCTGCCTCCACAGGGCAATGTGTCCCGTGACACTGTTTGTTATTCAGAGCCCTGCCAAACACCGAAATACAGCACCGTGCACAGAGCTGGCAACGAGAGATCGCTGTCCTTGCTTCCAGTCTTCCCTCCCTGGCTCGTTTAAAGCACACATTTGAACCACAGTGACCTTGCAGATAAAGCAGAGCCCAAATTTGGCACAGCAAGGACCATCCTGGCTCCTCTCCCTGCCCCAGCCAAGGCACGGAAAGTTCTCCAGCATCACCTGACTGCCCTGCTCGGGTGGCAAAGCTCCCTGTGAAAGTGAACTGAGCTTTGAGCTGAGCCCTCAGCACGGCTCGGATCTGCCCCACCCCTACTGGTTGCACTGGTTTGGCCGAGTCACTCCTGAGCAAACATTCCCAGGAGCTTGGAGCTGGCCCTGCAGACTCCAGGGAAGGTGTGGGGCTGAGCCATTCCCTCCCCACTGCCCCCATCAGCTGTGTGGGAGGGGAAAAAGGGGAATTGTGTGCACAGGGGGTCCTAAAAAATGTCCAGAATTTCTCCTGTCCCCTAAAGTAACATTGGATCCTGACCAGAGAGGGGAAAGGGGATGTCTGCCTCCACCCATGCCTTGATTAAGTGTGCATGAAGGAGAAGCAGGAGGAAGGAGCAGCTCCCATCCTGCAGTGGGGGCCAGGAGTTTGCAGAGGCTCCAGGAAGATCAGGGCAAGCACTTGGATGTATCAGGGAGAGGAATCAAACTCCTCCTTTGAGCAAAGCTGTTCAGTTCCTTTCTGCAGTTAATTGCTGGGTGTTTAATTGCAATCAGGGTAGCTGAGGTTTTTAGAAGGCTTTATTGTCCCTTCCAGAACCTTTTGCCTTGGCTAATCCCGAATCCCTCTCTTTTCTCCCATCCTTGTCATTTGCAGATGTAAAACCAGAGCTACCAGCACCTCCTGAAGCACCAGCCTCACTCCCCAGCAACATCAAACCCACCCAGTGCAGGTCCTGACGATAAAAACCCTCGTGGTCCTCCCATGAAGGCCATGAGATTTCTTCCCACTGATTTTTGCTGGAAATTCCAGAGGTTGGAAAATAACGGCAAATCCCTGCAGTATCTGCTCTTGGCACAGAAGCACAGTGATAGAAAATGTCCTGATCAGTGTCTCATGACCAGAATTTTCTAGTTGTCAGTAAAAAAAAGAAAATTCCCAATGTGCATCAGATGCTTCTGGCACCCGTGGGCCGTGGAACACCAGGGGAAGAGCAGGAGCCACTGCAGCCTAGCAGGGAATAAGAATTTTATTCTGTGAAACCAAATCATACTCCCAGAGATATAGGTACAAATTCAGACAATTTCCACGAAGGCAAAATGAGTTCCTGAGCTGGAATAAGGAGTTTTGGAGCTCAGGTGTGTGGGAATCCCTTTCTCCATGCCCAGTCAGCACCCAGGTGATGTGCAGCACCCCCAGAGCAGAGGCTGCAGGGACCACAGCAGGATGTGCCCCCAACCCTGCCCTGCCACAGAGCAATGACAGCAGAGCCCCAAACCCCATAAGTGTGGGGGGGATTCTGCCTGACCCCTCCTGTGACAGCTCAACCTGAAGTAAAGGTGGATGAAAATCAGCTGGTTGGGAGTGTGGTGGGTTTTGTCTGGAATGAGTTTGGCGTCACTGCAGTGCTTGGGATTGTGCATTGGCAGCATGGGGGGATCAGAGGATCATGTGGGGGCTCACTGATAAAGGGATCCTTTAGTGGGGGTCACTGATGAGGGGATCCTTGGTTGGGGTCACTGATGAGGGGATCCTTTAGTGGGGGTCATTGATAAGGGGATCCCTTGTTGGGGTCATTGATAAAGGGAACCCTTGTTGGGGTCACTGATAAGGGGATCCTTTGTTGGGCTGACTGATAAGGGGATGGTGCTGGGGCCTCAGGCAGGAGGAGATGGACCTTGTCCCAGCATTCCTGGTGACAGAAGCAATGGGACAAGGAGCAGAGCTGTCCTGCCCCCTGGGAAGAGCCAAATGCAAGTTCCTGGTGCTCCAGGGCTCAGGCTCCTGCTGCCACCCCGAGTGATGGTGTGGCCGTGGCTGGTATGAGGTTGTGTGAGGATGGTTGGTGGCAGGAGGGTTTGGACACAAACGAGTCCCAGGCTGTCCCTGGGTTGTTTCTGACCCTTGGGGAAGCTCCTCCACACCGAGTTGGTGGGCAGGAGCTCTCCAGGGTGAGCAGCTTTCGTGCATGGTTTATTACAGTCCTATTTCCACTCGTTCAGCCACGACAAGGAATTACAGCTCCCTTCTCTGCCCCACGGTTTCTCCACGCTGGTGTGTGGGCACAGCTCTATTTCGGTGCTTTCCAGCCCCCTCTGGTCACCTGGCCCAGCCGTGGTGGGGCTGGAGCACGGTGCTCTGGATGAACTGGCACAGGCAGGGAACGCTGCTGTGCCCCAGGTGTCCCCCTGCCCTGGCCCGAGGGAGCCGGCCCGTGGCCAGGAGCCGCACGTAGCAGCCACTGAAGATCACCAGGAGCTGCTGGGCCATGGCCTGGAGGGACAAGAGAGGTGTCAGGGCAGGGCATGGCATCCCTGTGGGCAGAGCACAGCAAACATCCAGCACCGTTCTCTCCCTGCTTCCAGGACTGTGCTGCTGTGACAGGAGCAGGACAGCAGCCAATGGCACACATAACTGGCCCAGATCCCCTTGTGGCCAGCAGGGCTGCCACACTGTCCCCACAGGGGTGACACCAAGTGACTGCTGGCCTTGGGGACCTGCCCACTCTGTCCCTGCCTCCCCGGGCTTGTTTTTGCCTGTAGACAGCCACAGAGCCTCAACCTGCAGGGATGTCACCTGCACTGAATTCACCTAGTGACAGTGACAGGAAAACTGCAAAATAAATCCAAATCATCCCTTTGGTAGCTCCGTGCTGAGCAGCAATCAGGACACATTTGTTGCTCAGCGTGGCACAAGTCTTTGAAGGCACTTTCCACAGAGGAGACAAAGGCTGGGCTCATCCATGGCTCAGCCCGGCCTGGGCAGGGGCACCAGCTCCCTGGGGAGATGTTTTTTTTTCCAAACAGGACCCTTGGGACCAGCAAAGAAAAGCCCAGTCCATGAATTCCCCAAGGATCCTCCCCAGCTGCTCAGACAGCTTTGACAGCTGGGCAGCACCAGGGCTGGAGAAGGTGTGTGTGTACCTCCAGGTGCTTCTGCTGGAGAAAAAGGGGATGTCCCCCATGGCTGGGATGGGTTTTGGAACTGAGATGCCTCGGGGGTGTGATTTGTTGCCTCTGTCAGGGGGATATTTCTCCTCACCTCGGGTGGGCCCTGGGGGATGAGGTGCAGGAGCTCCTTGCAGGTCACAGGATCTTTATTCAGGGTCACCCCGTTGGATAAAAGAGGGGATTCTTCACATGGAGCCTCCTCCTCCTCCATCCCCAGCTCGGGCTGAACTGCCACATCCATGACCACACGGAGCTTGTTCAGCCTGTGCCTCAAGCCTGCCTGGAAGAGAAGGAGATTTTGGGGCTCTCCAAAGACAGGCAGCAGTGGTGTCCTGAGCAGAGCCTTTACAGGGCACCATTTCCTCCTGCACGGATTTCACTCCTGGGATTTCCCACCCCAGGCAGCAGTGGTGTCCTGGGGACAGAGTTTAAAAGGCACAATTTCCTCCTCCTGCATGGATTTCACTCCTGGGATTTCCCATGCCAAGAACTGGGTGTCCATGCCATGGCCTGGCTGCCCTCAGCTGCCAGTGAGTGCTCCCAGCACCACAGACACAGCCTGGCATGGAGAATCCTGTCTTTAAAAACAGACTTATCTCATGCCCTGTGTGAATTGGGCAGTTGCTGTCCAGCCCTGAGCTGCAGCTTTCAGGGAGATGAGCAGCCTGGAGATTTCAGAAGGCTCTCACCTCTCATCTCACAAAGGCAGTTCTGTGGATATTTTCACACCCACAGAGAGAGCAAAACATTTTCTGAAGGCCAAGAGGACGAAATTTTTATATAATTAACTCAATCCAGCAATTCCTGCTCCTCCAGGCTATCCCACTTATTCCAGGAGGACAGCTCAAGGTGGCAGCTGTTCCAAGGTGTGCCACATGCTTCCAAAATTTGCCTTTCATTCCTGATGACTTTCCATGATTAAAGGTACACAATTAATTATCCAGACACGCACGTTCCACGGGGTCTGGACAAATTCCTGCTGAACTGGACATGGACAGGTGCACTTTATTCACCTCCCAGTGCACAGCAGGGGAACCTCAGCAGGGCACTCAAACTCTCATTTGTCCTTGCCCACCTCCAGCCCAGCAAATCCAGTGTCCCCAGTGTCCCTTACCTGTGTCCCCTGCAGGTGAGTGATGTGGGCTGACAGGGCCTGCAGGCAATGCTCAGGGTTGAAGTGCACAAACCACAGCTGGAAGGGGCAGGTGAAGGAAGGAATCTCTCCAAGCCTCCCCTTCCCATCCATGGGGATGCTGGGATGGGCTCACAGGGAGCAGAGCTGAGGGAGGTGGTGCCCTCAGGGTGCTCAGGGACCCAAATAACACAGCCCAGGGCTGGGTTTAAGCCAGGAGGGTCTGGGCTAAGACAAAACTCCAAGCTTGGGGAAGCAGAGAGCAGCCAGCCTGGAATGACCCAGGGTCTTTGCCCATTGCTCATCTCAGTGACCCGTTGTGGAAGGAGCAGAAAACACAGAGAAAAGTCTCCCTGCATCCTCAGAACAAATTCCTTGGAAAACCAGAGCTTAGAGATAAGAAATGGCTGTGAAATGACAAATACAAAAGGAATTTAGCTTCCCCCCCTTGGAAGACCCTCTTATCTATCTTCAATATTAGTGGTTCATTTTCTTTTAGTATCCATAGGCCAGCTTTGAATGT